TGAATATTTATTGAAAGGATCCTAAACTAAATGACTCCTCTTTCCCACCCATTGTCTCCTGACCTTCTCAGTGCTGCTGCGGCTGGGCATGAAGAAGGCCTCGACTGTGGGCATGGCTCTCTCCACACTTCTTAGCCAGGTGGCCAGATTGCCGGTGCCTGTCACCAAAGAGCAGGAGGAGGATGATGTTTTTGGTCTGTGTCACTGCTGCACTGCTCTTCTACATTTTGTCAAGCCCTTTGTTGAGGAGATCAAGGAGGTTGTGAAGGATAACAACAGAATATCCAAGGACAATGAGCTCAGAGTGGAACTACTCAAATTGTAGGTGCCCAATTTGTTGTTTAGAATTATGTAGATTGATTTTTTATTATTTTTATTATGCAATATAGCATACAATTATAATATTGGCCATTTATTTCTTAATCATATTTTTTATCCAGCTGTATGAAGAGTTTAAGTAAGCCTCTACTGGAGGTGAAGTTGAAAGATCCAGACACACTTCTGAAATCCCCTCTGAGAGACTTTGCTACAGAGATACTGGTATAATACTGCATGCATGTTCTTAACTATTACATTCCTTTATTGCACTTACACTACTGCTAAAATGTTTGGTATTTATTCAGCAAGGCTACATTAAATTGTTTAAAAAAAGACTTTATAAATATACTGTTCACTTTTAATGCATCAAAGTATCCTGAAAAAATGTTTCCACAAAAAAAACCTCTTAAGCAGCACAACTGTTTTCAACATTGATAATAATAAGAAACATTTTTTGAGCGGTAAATTAGCATATTGATTGATTTCTGAAGGATCATGTGACACTGAAGACGAGTTTTCAGCTTTGCCATCACAGGAATAAATTGCAATTAAAAAATGTTAAAATAGAAGAAGTTATTTTAAATTGTCAAAATATTTCACAATATTTCATAATATTGTATTTCTGCCAAATAAATTCTTCATTCTAAAAGACTTCTTTCAAAATCATTTAAAAATCATTCCAAAACCAAACTTTTGAACAATAGTGTAAGTTGCACTAATAAAATTGCATCAAGTAACAAAATGAAATTTAGAGGCATCTGCCAATGTATTTCAATATTACTGCCTTGATGTACATTTTCCTAATTTATCTGCATTATGTCTACAGATCATTTTGTCAAGTATTGGGGAGTCACTCCCTGATTTGTTAAGTCGTAATGTACTGAAGAGAAGGGAGGTCCCAGGTTTTCTTGAAGAGGAGGTAAGATACCCGAAGGAGTCATTGGCCTGCTTGTCCCACCTGCTTTTTGTGGATCATATAGCTGTGGACATCTTTCCAGCTGTTCTCAGGTGAAGAGTGAAGCTGTTCACCATGTTGATTTACATTTGTATTAAGAATGAAGACAGCAAATGTTTTTGCTGACATTTTGTTTACATGTTTTTTCAGTCCGATTTTTGTTCTGAAATGCAACATGGAATATATTGAGCTGCTGTTAAGCAGGTAATTATGGAGTTATGACAATAAATCTGATATTAAAATGAGAGTCTTCTGACAAACAAATTTGATCTGCATTCATAGAACTGAAGAATCCCGTCTGCAGAAAGGACTGGTATGAGTGTTCTTTACAACAACAAACCATACCACGTCATATTTACGTTTTATACAGAGATTGATAGCAATAATTTATTATGTGCGGTTGTAATATTCCTTTAATTCTGTCATCATAGGAATTGTATGAAAAAAGTCTTATCAGAGTGGAAGATAACAGTCTACCAGTAGATCTTTTGGAGCTGAAGACATTTTTCAGTGTTCCACAGGTAAAATGTTAAAACTTATGGCATTTTAACAATAGTTTTGTGCGTCTTTTAGGTGTTCTAAGATGTTCTGTTTTCTCTTTAGAATTTGGTTAAAGTTATGACGCTGTGTCCAGACCAGACTTTGGTAAGTGAGACCTTTTGTGTGGAGGTAACTTGTAATAGAATGGGGTTTGTTATCATTGTTGATTTTGATTTGTCTTTGCCCACATCACCACAGAGAACTAAAGGCCTGAAAGTGTTTCAGCTGAGCATTGACAAATTCAACACAGAGGCCAAATACAAGTTTTTCAAGTAAGCCTTTATTCTAACATTTAAACATGAAAACTTCTCATTATTTGGTCCGACACAAAACATTGGTAATAAACATGGTTAATAAAAACATACACGAAAAAAAAAAATGACTGCGCTCAACTTCAGTGTTGGGTGCTTAGATCATAAAAACATACAGAGACTGCCTATGATATGTTAAAAAGCCAATTGTAACTGTATTTTTCATCATTTTGAATTTATGCTTCACAATGTGAATGTATATCTCGCAGAGTAGGACAGCTAATTAATAAAATTGATAAGAATTGCTATTTAAAATAATGAACAACAAATCTGATGATTGATAACTCGTGTCTGCGCTCTGTGAAGTGAAAACACGTCAGCCACTTTACAGTTGTGAATAATGCAATTTTGAAATGAAGTATATAAAATAAGACACAGATTGAGCTGCTTTGGGGAAATTGCCCGACCCAAGTTACCGTAAATATGAGAATGTTTATATTAAGTGATTCAAACAGTTGCATAAATTTTATTGTGGCCTGCCATGTCAGGTGCTTTGAAAGATGCATTTAATGTGTTTGATTTGTTTTCCTCAATCTGTAATTTTACAGGTGTATGTTTGTCTGTAAATGTTAGAAAATCTCACTTTTATTTCCATTTTGTATAAAGGCTCATCCTGGCCCATTCATTTTTGTAAATAATGGATTAAAAGGAATAATTTCTCTAAAATTTCTCATGTAGGTAGTAAATCCTAATGGTAGTTTTTAACGACAAATAAGAGTTTGCGCTGGCACAGGCTGTTAGTAAATCTGGCCAGTAGTAAAAGATTCAGTAAATGATATTCTTCCATTTTCAGGGGCATGTTGAAAACAAGTCACCATGCAGGGGTGGAGGGATATATAATCAAGAACATCAAGAATCAGATTGACTTTTCACTCAAGGTAAGATAAGTCATGATATCATGTCATCAACATTACCCCATTGATTGTTTTGATCTTGCATTTTTTTTTAGCCATATAATGGTAATGATTGGTTCCTGGGTAAACATCTGCTGCCACTGCTGCGGCTAGTGCTGTGCCTTCCACATGGACCAGAAACAGACCTGCTGCAGAACTTAGACAGGTGAGACCCTTTAAACAAACAAAAGTCTTTCTGCAACTGCGGTTGGTTCAATGGCAGTCCATTTGACTTGACAAAACTGCTATCAATATCAAATAGGATCATGGAATCACTGAACCTCCTGAGATACATGCTCATCCGAGATAAAGAATGGGAGAATGAGGTAAGCTCATTCCATCCTTTAATGACTATGCAGTACATCAGTAGTTCAACCAAAGTCCTGGGAGCCACTAGGGGGCATTAGCACACTTTCAGTCTATTTTAAAATAATTTAAAATAAGAAAAAACAAGCCTTAAAAAGATAAAACAACTACAAAGATTAATATTAAGAAGAAAAGGATATGAATCCAAGATCATATTTATGGTACTATTATTGGGTAAAAATTGCTGACCAGTGTTATTTTAGTATAGTAGAGATACTGTTATAGTTTTTATTAATATTTTGAATGACTTTTTTTGCACATCATATTTTTTTTTATGTTTTCCTATTTGTTTAGACAGGAATCTGGACAGAGCTTTATAAGATTGAGGACAACTATCTGAAGCCACTGAGGACCGGTCTGAACATGTCCAAAGCACATTATGAGGCAGAACTGAAGAGCGCGAAAGAAAATAAGAAGATCAGTTCAAAAGGTGCAATACACTCTCGTTCATAACATTGAGCTCTCTGAAAGTAACCAGAGAATGTATTTAACATTTATGCTGTGTGAATATAGTCTGTCACATACATTTTCTGTAGTCAGGCTGTTGACCCTTTTTTTGTTCAACAGACTCTAAAGCATCAGTCTGCACAGTAACTGTTGACAATGAGAAGCTGCCCAACATGACACCAGAAATGCAGATTCAGGTATATTATTTTGTGTATTAATCCACATTAGTGCTGTTATACAGTGGACACAGTTAACAATGTTTGCATGCCACTTCTGCAGGTTCTGCAGTCAGCCGTCTTCACATTTGATCTGATAGAGGGTGTCTTGGCTAGAATTGAGGAGATAATCGAGACTAAAGAAAGACCCCTGTCATGATGTGAGAGACTGTATGACCCCTTCAACATCTTTCCTTTCGGTTAACATAGTCACTCTTCTTGAAGCAGATTCTTTTAAAGACCCTAAAACCAATCACAGGGATAGATAGCCACCGGCTCTAGGGTGGGGAACAAAGCATGGGCTTTTTTTTTTTGTGGGTTTATTTAGCGGTATTTTCTCTCTGTCCACTCTGGCTCCAGTTGCGCATCACTATACAGTAACATATTAGTGTAGTTTATAGACAGTGAGAAAACACGAAAATCATATTTGTAACTTTTTTTTTGGATTTTCAAGGTTTGACCACTGAACTATGATTGTGCAAATTTGTACATGTCAAGATACTAATGTAGAAAAGTCATGTTAGGTAACCTAAAAATGTATATGACAGTACAATATGTTGTTGGATTATCATTATTTCCAGGCTTGAAATGTTCAGCTTTGTGTATGTCAGTCACAAAAAACAAACACTGTGAACTATGCAAAACTTGCAAAAACTATGCACAGGTTAAGATTGGAGTGGAAAATGACCTAGAGCTTTAAGATGCTGTTTGTACCTGCATTTTTGCATCTTTCTTGCCTGTGAAATCACTGCTCTTTTGTGAGGGAAATATTTAGCAATGTTGTTCTCTTCTGATTTTGCTTTGAGTAAATACCATTGTTTCCAGATGCAGTTTTTCTTTTCTCATACAGGGTCTCAGTCACTAACCATGTGTAATGCACATATATTTAAAGTGAAATCACTGTGTGAGTGATCATGATTCATCAAAAGCTTTAGTGTATTCTGAATTTTAATGATTTTTTTAAATGCAAAATTTATTCTATATGTACTAAATAATTAGTAACAATCAAAACCATGTGTATGTCACGATATCACATTTGGTTGGCCTTATAAACATAAAATATTGACTTATTGCTCCTCAGGCACACATTCAGTAATCAAAATAATGTGAAAACCTGGGAAATAGGCAATATTTTTTGTTAAGGTGTTTCACCACCATTTGCCTTCAATACAGCTCCCAAGCTTCTTAGAACAGATTCATGCAACTTTGGAATAGTCAGAACATCTGCCAATAGCTCCAAAGATGTAGGAGCAAATCGCTTTCTCGTTTTCTCCAAACCTGTCCAGTGGTTTGATAACATTTAAGTAATATTTTCTGGCCACAGCAGATGTGGAAGTTCATCTTTGTAATCCTAATGTCTAGTTTTTATGATTGCCCTTTTCTTTTAGTTAGAGAAGTTGCAGCTCTTTCATGGATGTTGGCTTTGTGAAGTTCTCTGCCACAGCTTGTACTATAGTACCACTGCTGAACAACTTATACTACATTGATTTACAAACTAGTAAGTACAGACAACAAAAAAGAAGATAATTGCAATACTGTAGCTGTCACAAATGATATTAACTCCTATAATATATAAACAAAACAGTCTGGTGGTTTTCAACAGGGTTCATAAATTTAATTTCATCCAAATATGTGTCAGAACCTTACATTCAAGAAATACTCTCTAAGATGAACTTTAAACAATAAGTTTGAACTTTTTATTCTCAAAAGTGAATCTCAAGAAACCCAAAAAAATAAGACTAATAAATAAAACATCGCTGTACAGCATGTAGTTAGAAAACAGATGCATAAATGTAACTTTACAGAACAATACAAAATTAGAAGATGGCACAAAAACTAATTAGTCATATCTTTGAAAAGTGGATGCTGCAGTGCCACAGGAGCAGTTATCCTCGATGCTGGGTTTAAATCTAAGAGTTTATCCAGGAGGTCATACACATCATCAGGCACTTTATCCCAGCCCATCTCCTGCAGCTCTGCACTGCTTTTGAGAGAGCTCTTATGCTTCTTAAGAGGACTCCCTGCAGCCTGTTTTCCTTCTGCTGGGTTATGTGAGGCTTGAAACTCAGCAGGAAGTAAGCCGTCATCCCATGATCGCAAACCTCTTAGAGTCTCACAGAGGATCTTCAGGTCCAACCGAGGAAGCTCACGACTGCACACTATAGATTTACCTGCAATCAGACATACAAAATAATATTCAATCAACTGAGGTACAAGAAATAAGATGAGAATCAATGTACAACATGATCCAGAGACATCTGTACACTTGAGCCTGTAGACAATGACTTGCCGAATGTCTTAGCAGCCTCAATCGTCTCTCTAGATCCTCGGATGGTCATGATCTGAGTAAGAGCGATCAGATCATCACTGGCTTTGAAGAATGGATACCTCCCACTCAGCAGTGACAGCAAAATGACACCTGCTGACCACATGTCAATAGCTGCAGAGAGATGTTGCTTCATTAGTCAGAATTTATTATTGTTATTTGTGAAAAGAATATATATGCTTTGAAACATAAGTCAAGTCAAGTCAAGTCTGCTTTATTGTCAATTCTTCCACATGTACAGCACATACACACAGAGAATTGAAATTGCGTTACTCTCAGACCCTTGGTGCATACAGATAACACTAACAGTAGAACATAAATACAGATATACAGATTAAATATAAAATACAACTATACAAATATACAAATAAGGTAAAATGTAAAAAAATATATAAAAATATATATATAAAGCAGCACACGGCACATGGCAGGTAGAGTGCAAACCAGTGAAGTAAACAACAGTGCAGATATAATGATTTGTAGTGCAAAAAGAGCTTATTTAGACTGATTAAAGTGACTGTGTGTGTGTATTTGGGAGGGGGGAGTGGGAGAAGAGAAAAAGAGCTTACTTATTATAAGCTAGACAGAATTGAACTGATTATGAAATGTACATCACACTGAAAGTGCAGCCACAGTTACTGTTGCTTGGTGACATTTTAGGCGAAATCTAGTCATTTCAAAAGTAATCCACACAAGTGAAAATTTTGTGTTCCCCATGCAGATTTGACTTTTGTTCAAGTTGGTCATGTGAAGTTGCTGCTTTGACCAACAGAATGTTACTTGGTTTGAAAAGTTACTTCTGCAAGAACGATGCTTAATGCATCACTACACTATTTATAATGAACAATGCCCGTGAACCCATGAAATCAAAGTTGATATCTACTTAATATCTCTGTATTACAACCATGAAACATGTTGTCTGTCCAATCCTCAAATGATGACATGTGCACAGAATATCAAACAGAGATTTCTTGATTTGTGTCCAATTTTGACTTGTGTTTGAGTTCAGTTTGACTTGATTTGATTCAGTTCTGATTCACTTGGGTATAGTGATGTTGATTCAGTATGTGATTTTTTGAAAGATTCGTTCAAAGAAATTGACTCATAAAACTCATTTGTTTGTCAATCAGACTACACTAGCCATGAAGATAGCGTTTGCTTTCTTGTACATTTATGTTGGAAGTCTACATCAAGTGGCATTGTACTTTTCCAAGTAGGAAGTTGGAAAATTTACAAGTTGAATGGAACACACTATTGGGGATAAATCACAACCCAAATAACAATATGAAACAAATAAAAAATGTCTTTTGGTAGCTTTACCTGTTCCCTGGTTAGGGCACTTAGTCAGGACCTCAGGAGCCCTAAAGCCTGGGGTACCAGCCCTCGGAGCCACCTGCTGTTTCCTAGGAAAAGCAAAGCGTTCTTTACTCATTGCACTATTAAATTAATGCTGTAAAGCCTGACATATTAAATAATATTCAGAATTTTTTTTTTTTTAAATGGCACAATTTATTGAACTACTAGACAAAATCTAAAAAAATAATGTTCGCATTTTTTATTGTGGGGGGCAAAACAATGCAACGCAAGACAATGATGAATGAGAGATGTACAAATAAGTGTACCTACAAAATTTTGCCATGATTTTTCTAAAAAAATGAGGATAATCCACAATGTTTAGATAATCAAGTAAACTTAAATTACTTCAGTCCAATAAGTGTTCATCTTGAAATACTACTATAAAATACAATAACTACTATATATACAATATAAAAGTTATTCCTACATTTACTTAAAAAACAAAAATCAGTAAAGATCGCACAGCTAAAAGACCTAAAAGTGTACCCAGCTAAAAGGGTACCACGTCTTGAAGGTTTTTACAATTATACTAAAAGAACTTTTACTTGCTAAAAAAGTATAAAATATTATGTAGTACATTGTGTAGAACAGCAAATATTCCTGCATAGTTTTGATAATTTCTAGGCCTTAGAAATTTGCATATCAATTAAGATAAAAAATAGGCTTTATAAAAATAAAAATCTGTAACTATATGACTTGATTAAGAGCATGTACCTGGACAGGCAGATGTTGCAGATGCGGTCAGTCATGTAGCAGTTGCAGGTGAGACTCGGGCTGACGGCAGGGGGTTTGGGTTTTTGACTCTCAATGGGGGCTTTTTGTCTCTGATTCAGTGGTGTTCTCACTGGTACTGAACGGTGTTTTGAAGAAACAATCTTGCGTGGAATTAATTCCTCTCGTTTTGGTTTTGAAAGCAGTCCCTGAAATACAATTTGACAGGTGAAGAGCTTATAGTCATTCAGAAGGTGAAGATGCAACCAGTGTGAAAATAGATGCTAACCTCAACTTTGTCAGTGCCAGGATTATGAGAGTTTGTGCCATTTATGTTTTTCTCCCCAAATACAGACCGTGGTGCATTATCAAGTTCCAACAGTTCCTTTGAGAGGAAGGACATAAGTTTTGACATAAGTTTCCTCAAAACAAAACAATACAAGTATGTAAACTTGGAAGTACAGTATTCCCCTAATTTGACAACCATCATCATATTAAAAACTGAATTTATTTAAAGAAACCAGTGCAGACACCTTGCTGTGTTTAATGCGTGAAGCTGGGCATGGTCTTTTAGCAGGTGCTTTAGTGCTGGACTGGAGAGCAGTGTTTCTGGTGTTGGGTGGTAAAGGCACAAGTTTCGGTTTCCCAAGTGATTCCTCCACCATCTTAGTAGATGACCCGCCACCTTTATGAGATTTTGATTTCACCACCTTCAGCAGTTCTATCTGTGTATCAGGAGTGCCCTGTGCCAGGCCAAAATCCACTAGAGCATACCTGAGGAAAGAGAGATGGCATGCCTCAGTTTACTTGGATCTATTCCTGTGGTTATCAACCTTTTTTATTCCAAGTCCCCCTTGGTCCAAGACAATATTCGAATGCCCTCCTAAACTGATCATGTAACGTTGTTATTGTAACATTTCGATTACAACCCCTTCACCCCAAAATTTGCAATAAATAGACTATTATGTGTATAAATGTCTATAAATCAAAAACTTTGACACTTCAAAAAGACTTAGTAAACTTTTTCCATATTGATCGATTAATCCAAGTCGGGAAAAGAAAAGAGCAACAGAAACCTCAGGTTTCAATAAAAATCATCTGTGTTTTGAAGACGAACAAAAGTCTAATGGGTTTGAAACAGCACAAGGGTGACAAAAAAAATTAGGAAAGCACAATATTCAGCACCAAACTGGTTACATTAACGAGGAAAAAAAATTAACAAATGATTTTAGCAAATGGCTGCAATATAACAAAGAGTGAAAAATTGAAGGGGGTCTGAATACTTTCCGTACCCACTGTATCAATATTAAAGGTAATTTCTCCCACTATTACATTACGATTACCTTTGCTATCATCTAACACTCATTTAGCTGGTTAATCAATTGTTACCATTATCTTAAATAAGCAAGAAACTGTGGCGATTACATGTGTTTCAGGAAGAGAGTCTAGAACCACAGAGACATGAACATCAGATACATACTCCCTCTTTTGTCGATTGAACAGGAAATTAGTTGGTTTGATGTCTCGGTGGATGATGCCAAACTTGTGAATGTGTCTCAAGGCTTTGAGCAGGTGGAAGATGTAATGCCTCACATCCTCAAAACTCAAGGTGCCAACAATATCCTACAAGGAATTAAAACTTTTGGGTAAAATCTTGGGTACTGGTTAAGCAATTCATGATGTATCATTATTTGGGGTAAAAGCACATACTGCGGACACTTACCACAAAGGTTTGATGCTCCATGTATGGCATAACAATGACCACGTAATGCTCTTTCCTGAAGCAGTATGTGACTCCCATCACATTTTCTTTCCCTCTGTGGAGGGAAATATAATTGACAAATCCTCTACTGTAACTCTGAAACCCAAGACTGTTCCTCACAAGGTATCTATGCCAGAATACATGAAAATAAATGGTAATAGGTCAAAATATGAAAATATTTTCACAACTCACCCAGCAACAGTCAGGCACTGGAGTTCAGCGGCTATACGCACAGGGTGACTGGTAGGGATCAGGTGTTTCAGTGCAAACATCCTTCTCGACCCATCGGTCATCTGTGCCTCTGCCAAATACACTGAGCTGAAAGTACCTGTAAATGACAATAAAGGATCTTAAAGGTTTGTCAATCAGCAGAAGGAAAACAAAAAGCGTGATTTCAGTGCATTCAAAGATATCCCATCATACAGTATTTTAGCAGCAAGAAATATAATGGCAAACCTTCTCCAATTTTATCTATGATACGAAAAATTTGAGACAGCTGCGGCAGAACTTCATACAGGTATGCAATGTCTGTCTCAACATCCCCTAAACAAAAGAGAATCAGGTAGGTTTAATTATTTTTATAAACAGTTATAAAGTTATCTACAAATGTCACAAAACAAGCATTCATTCCCTTGAGAAAAGGAAGTACCCTTCAGCATACCTAAAAGAAAGTACTCAGTGAAATAACACACTGTAAAAGAATATACTTAAATGCAAACTGAATGTAATGTTTTCGGACAACTAACTGCATGTTAATACAAATTAAATGAGAATGTATTAGATAAAGCATACTGCTGAATGTACTGACAAGCATTTTAGGAAACCTAAATTCTACTTTAATGTTATTTCTGTTGAAACTTGTATGTCATGCATTTATATACATTTTTAATTAAATGTAATCTCAAATAACACATTACAGTTCCAATTATAATCAAGTACTTAACAAAAATACACTTGAAAATGTGTATTTCTTTAAGGCACAGGAAAAGATTATTATGATTACATGCACTTCTTTCTCACAGGGGTTCCTGCATATTGAAAAATTGTCTCACTCACTGGGTATTATTATGTGTTGGCTCCTGCCCTTTGCAACACTTTGTTGAGTGCTCCTCTGGACAGTCTGAGCTGCTTCCATTTAATCCCACAATAACCAACAGCTATAATGTGGGAAACTGTTGGATGACATTAAATAGTATTATTACTCATTTACAGCTTAACTGGCATATTACTAGTTTAACTGTATCCAAACAAGGCCAACAAACACACAATAATAGTAAAAAAAAAAAACTTAATATACCTTTTAAGGTCGTAAGTTACTGCGGTAATGAACATATTATAGCTTACCTGTTTTTGTTTTGTTTTTTTCACCGAGTTTATGATAAACACTGTCCCAGCAGACTGCACTGACATAAACGGTTACCGCGTAGAGTTCACAAGTTAACTTAAGGGCCTATTTTGATATTAAACACTAAATTCGTCACCCTGTCAAACACGTTTATTTCTAAAAGAAAGAGCGAATATTTTAATATACAAACTTCGGCCTTGCTAAACTGTCTCTCTTCCCGACAACTTCCAAGTCCCGCGCTAAAACAAGACGCAGATCACGTGACCAGTGCTATGCCATTTGGTTCAAGAATGCAGTTTCACCAACTCAGACAATGCGCGGTTTACCTTTAACAAAGTTACATTTTCATACAACTATAGCTGATATGAATTTAATGATGGCTGAAATTTAATATGGAAGTTTTTCCCTAATAAAATTTTAATTATAAATCGAATGCTCAAATACAATTCTCAAAATAACAGTTCAAATGATGAAGACAATGTAAAATGCAGTTTAATTTCCCCATTTGATGAAACATGAACATGTGTTTTTTTTTGTATTTTATAATTTCAAACAAGTTAATTAGAATTTATAATTATGAATTAATTAATTATAATTAATTATTAATTATTATATTTTTATTATATAGTATATATATATATATTATTAATTATAACTATTAAAAAGGCGTTTCTCTTATTGCTAAAATGTTAAAAGATAGATATTACACATTTCTATTATTTAATGTATTAGTAATTTGAAGACTGAATTGTTTTTATTATGTTTTTACATTGGCTTTTTGTCCGTGACGGCTAACTTTAAGAGGGCTTTTATATTGAAAAATCTTTATCTTGCACTTTATCTTACTTCACGCTCTCTTCCGGTGTGAAGTAGAATTCAATTACTATTGTTTTTTTTGTTTTTTTTGTATTGCTGCCGTACAGTTCCATTCACAGATGTACAATGCAGTAAGTGAAAAAATTAACTGTAGCTAGAGCTGGTGTAAGTAAACTATCGTTCATATCAGGTTTTTAATCATGGATAAATTTGTAGTTCGGTTACCAAAGGCAGATAGGGAAAAACAGGAACCAAAACAAGAGAGGAATTACAAGCAAGCAACCTTAGAGTCTCTGCGGGTAAGTCATTGGTTGTTTTACCCTGGCCATCATTTTTTTTAACCAGGTGTGGTTTTATTTATGTAGTCATCTGTATTTGTTCCAGAGAGTGGTTGTGATTGAAGACATTGAAAGGTACAGGTCAATCCTTGAACTGCCTGGCCAGCCTAAAGAAAATATGATAGAAGCCTTGAAGGAGCTGGATAAGAAAATGCCTTCCAGAGAAGTGCTGAAGACTACCAGAATCGGTAAGAGTTTATTGTTCTTTTTTTTCCTTGATGTTCTTGTTATATCCCTCTTTTTATTTCTCAGTCTCATAGATATTGAGACATTTGAAACATATATATTAGTCAGTTGCTAACATCTGCCACTGAATTATAGACCTAAGGTGTGGTATCCCCAAAAATCATTCCCCTAACAAAATTAAAATGAAGAAAAAAGCCACATTCTAACAAATACTATTTATAATTCATACCACTTTGTCATTGTTTTTAATGCAGGACACACAGTTAACAACCTACGCAAACACTCAGAAGATCCTGAAATCAAGTCACTAGCGGGGGAGGTGTATAAACACTGGAGGACCTTCATTGAGGAACATGCAAATAAACCTACTATAGAAGTTCGCTGTGACAAACAGACAGAAAGTTTGAGGAGCAATGCAAAGAAACTGCTATCTGAAGCCACAGGGCTGAAGGTACTGATCCTAACTGGTCATTACAATTTCTTAACGACCTATGCTTTCAATAGTTTATTGCTATATAAAGAATTAGTTGAATACCTCTGCTCCCAACCACTAGAATGTAATAACTGTGCTGTACCTTCTAATTGCAATCCAAAAAAGTGATGTTCTTCCGCAGTATTTTTGTATTGTTTTCCAGTTCATTTACTAGAAACTGAAAATGACATGCAATGCAAAATCTTCTTTTCTGAGTAATTGATAAAAATGAAGTGAGTTTATAATGAAAACAAGAACAAATATCTGTCAATTGCCAACTATTGCTTAATTGAAAATCTGAAATTGTATTACCTAAAATTAAGGCCTTTCAAACATTTTAAGTTGATTTTTCTGAGCCAACTGGCAGATATTTGTTAGTTTTAATCATAAATTTACTTAATTTTGATAAAATTCTCATAAAACTTACTGTTCTATGTGATTTTGCTTATCAAGCAAATTAATCTTGATTTTAGAGTTTTAGACATTTGCACTTCAAAACAAGACAAAAATACTAAGGAAAAACATCACATTTTAGCAGTGTGATCAGTAGCTGTTATTTCTATATTCTAGTGGTTGGGACGGGAGCAGAGCTTTTCAAACCTTAAAAAAAAAAAAAAAAAGACGTGAAGTGGCCAAGTATGGTGACCCATACTCAGAATTAGTGCTCTGCTTTTATCCCATCCAAAGTGCACACACACAGCAGTGAACACACACACACCGTGAACACACACCCGGAGCAGTGGGCAGCCATTTTTTTGCTGCGGCGCCCAGGGAGCAGTTGGGGGTTCGGTGCCTTGCTCAAGGGCACCTCAGTCGTGGTATTGAAGGTGGGAGAGTGCGCTGTACATTCTCTCCCCACACCTACAATCCCTGCCGGTACGAGATTCGAACCCGCAACCTTTAGGTTACGAGTCCGACTCTCTAACCATTAGGCCACGACTTCCCCAAAGGGGTTAGTTAGGGTTAGTAAACTTATATCCCTTATATCCCTTAGAAGAGGAGACTGGTTTTCCTTTGCTAAAGTAAGGAAACTTTGCTTCCTTTGCTCCTGTTAACAAACATTGGTTTTCATGAGACTCACCGGCGCATGTGCAATGCCGACCTCATACGTCATCAGCCCGGAGCTGCTTCCGTGTACAACTGTTGGCGCAAGCTACATTAAAGTGATTATTACGTTTTGAATATGGATATTTTTCTTACAAAAACGCATCGATTCGCTACAGGAGGCCTTTGTTCACCCCCCGGAGCCGTGTGAGACAATTTTTTTTTTTAAACGGATGGGTGCTTTTTATTTAACTTCTTTTGGACTGATGCATGCAACACCCGCTGAGTGGCATTAAACTGGATTTGTCTGAAAGAAGAAAGTCATATACACCTAGGATGACTTGAGGGTGAGTAATTTGTGGGCTAATTTTCATTTTTGGGTGAACTAACCCTTTTTAGCTATTTCTTTTTGTAAAATTAATTAAAAAGTAATCGAGATCTGAAGCGAGTTTTATTTTTATACTTTAGAGTGTTGCTAATACAACTCATTGTGCACTTCCTAGACATATACATTTAGAGAACATATTGACATATTGCGTTCGCTTTAAATTATTCCCTAAGAAAGTCTTAAATGCACCTTTAGAAATGCTTCAGGAACCCCATATTAAATATTATCATGACACAGTTGTACTTTAAATTCTTATTGTACATAGATAATAAATATTTTTCTGATGTTCCAGGTGGAGCATGGACTGGTGGAGAACATAGAAAGAGAAGTGTTTCACCAAAGCTCTCGACTTGTTAGTGGAGCATACAGAAGGACTGTGAGGGCTCTTGTCTTTGCACTGAAAAATAGGACTGACTTGAGAGCGCAGGTCAAGGATGGCAAACTACCAGTTAATAAATTTGTAAGCAGTCACAAAAAAAAACTGTGAAGAATTGAAAAATTCAAATATGGGACCTCAAGAAAACTTTTTTTTTTTTAACTCTTTTTAACTTTCAGTCTTGTTCTTAAATACAACATTTGACTTTTATTTACATTGCATTTGTCAGAATGTTCTTTCCAAAACAGTACAAAAACAGAGATGTATCAAGTCCTTATATATGCATTGTGTGGCACACCTATAGAAGCACCAACCACACAATAGCAATTAACATGAGGATCACAGCGAGAACACAGATGCTGATGAAGATGATGTCACTGGTCTCATGAGGTTCACTTTCTTCATCAACATTCTTGTTGTTTGATTCCTTGGCCAGACGGGCCAGTTCATTGAGACGGTTACGCTCCTCAACTGAGATGATGTTGACCATGGCCATCTTCCTCTGGGCGTCACATTGCACCTCATACTCCTGAATATTCTGCTGCGGTCCATCAGAGTAGTCGATATAAAGCGAGTTCACCAGCATGGTGATGTTTTGACGTTTCTACAGAAGATCACAGGATATGGGGCAACATTAATTTTAATTTGAACAAAACCATATTAAATCTAGTCTTTAAGCTGATGTAAGATATATCAGATATTTGCTAAAATCAGCCAATGAATTAGACCTAAATCTAAGACTGTCGCTGAAAAAGGTGTAGGGTAAGTAGAGGTGTTTTAAATGTGGTATCCCAAGAAATCACTGCATGAGTGTCTCTTTGTCTTATATACCTGTCCAGCAGTTCCACAGTTGACAAAACGGGCTAGAATTTTGTAGGATGTTTCTGTCAGCTGGGCCGAACAGGATGGATTCCCAAGATAAATGTTCTCACGGTCCAGCTGGGGCAAAGCCTCCCTGGAGATCTGAATCTGAAACTCAGTTCGGGTGCAGCTTACATTGACTGGCACCACTGCGAGACACAAAGACAACAAAATAACATTCAGGTTGAGTTCAATGTGGTGTTTACAATAATTATGTGAAGAACATAATTCTTTTAGTATACTTTTGAGGAATAAATGCAATTCTCTTTTGCCAAACAATGTGATTGTTTTAAATAATAAATACTTTTGAAATTGAGTCTTATGAAAGGTGTTCACACAGACTATTGATTACTTTTCACTGGTGTTTAGTAATTGACTTTACATGCTTTTTTTATAAGAGGCCTTAATGTAATGACATTATTGGCCTTAAAGCTAAACTGTACATTTTATTTTTGCTAAATACTCTTTTAAATAAATACTCATATTTCAGAGCTGTCACAACATTTTTGTGGGAAACAGCATACATACATAATTCGCCCATGTGCCTACTCGTAGTGCCTAATGGTCTAATGTAATTTATGTTAGAAGAGTGAATTCAAACTATGATAAGTGAGCACTCACCTCCTATATAGGAGGCCGTGAATCCCTTAAAGGCATAGTTCTGGTCAGTGCTGAGAACAACCAGTAGTTTATTTCCCTTAGAGGTCAAAGATGGAGGCTGTTCACTGCCACACCACTGACCCAACAGCGTGTCTGTCTCGCTGTCCCCATCGTACACATACATGGAGTCATAGTCGCACATGTCAGTCAGGCTGTTTCGATCCTCAAGCTCCAGAAAGGGGAAAAATAGCTTAATCCTGTAGCCAGCTGCTAAAGTGATTGTCCAGTGACAGTTGATGTTGTTGGGGTAGATGTTTGGGTAGTGAGGGCTAGTAAAGTTCCCACTGATATCTTTGAGAATTTGCTGGCACTCTCCTTTAAAAACAGGAATATCAAGGAATAAGTATTTGAAATTTTATTTTATTGTGATAATATCTGGTTTGAAAACGTGTCTCACCTGAGTAGTAGTAGGCTTTAAAACCTCTCCCGCCAATATTAAAGTCAGACTTGAAGACCACAAGCAGATGGTTTGATGTGGTGACGGTGTTGGGAGGTCTCTCATTACCACAGTAATTGCCCAGGTGACGGTGTTTAACAGAGGGGCCATCAAAGAGGGCCACGTAGTCGAAATTGCACCCCTCATTGTTTTCCAACTGGAAGTCGAGGAACACCAGGCTCACTACACTCTGATTGGACACGTGTACAGTCCAGGAGCAATCTGCATTGTTGTTGTACTCTAGTGGATAACCTGGGCTTGAGATGACCCCCGATAGACCGGTCAGTACCCCACCACACATATCTGATTTTGAGAAAGGAACAAATTAAGTTACATTAGTTGTAAAAAAAAAAAAAATCTGTCATCTAGCATGCTGTCATTTACCTCAAAAAATAATTTAAATTTATTTCTTAGTTTGTACTTCGCTTGAACTTAAACAAAAAAATTATATGGGGCAAGGCATTCTGGAGGCTTTAAAAGCAGAAATGTGCAGCTCTTATATTTGTATACAGTGCTACAGACATAATTTCTGTCAGTGGATTTACTGATTTTAATCATTAACCCATTCAGGTCATTTTTACCTGGAAAAGATTACTAAAACTAAAGAAAAAAAAAAATGGAATATTAATATGGAAACCAAACTTGTGAAACACAAAATTAAAAAAAATATATATTTTTATGTACTTATTTTGAATTATTAAGTGTTTAAGTCTAGAATTTGTAAGAATTTGTAATTTTTAAGAGATTTTAAAAGGTCAAGTAAAATGAATGTAGAGTAATATTTATGTTGTTTTGATGTAGAAAAAGACATACATTTCATTAATTTGGACTGTTTTGAGCAATCTTGAGTAATATGTTCAAATGAATTTAATTAAATCCATCGATTTCAATATATTTCACTATAAAATAGTAATATGTGGAATACTAACCTTTTTTTAATGAGGGTTAGTTGGTCATGAGTCATGACAGTTGAAAGACTGGATATATCAAGGTTAGTAAGCAATTTCATCACACTAGACTAATGTTAACACATATGATGTTGAAGTTTTGTGGCTATACTACTGAAACAAGGTGTATTATCCCTGTGCAATGTCTTGCCCCATAGACTTTAATTGTAAAAGGACTGCAGTAAACACAATATTTGCTTATTTTTACAAACTGAGGGACAAGTGGTAATTATTGTCTGTTGTAATCAACTGCATATTAATTGATATTGCACCTGGAATCTTCAGTCGCACTCCTCACCTTTCCTATAGCCAACCGAGAAACCCTTGCGTGCAACATGGCGGTCTGAATGGAAGATGATGGACATGACGTTCCAGGACGAGCTGAACTGAGGAGGAGACACATCTCCACAGAATTTCCCCAGAAGGTTGCCTTCATCCTCTGAGATGCCGTTGTATATCTTGATGTAGTCATAAGCACAGTCTGTATGGTATTCCAGCTCGAAGTGATGGAAGGTTAACAGTACGGAAGAGCCTTCCGAGACCACTATCAACCAGGTGCATTCAGTATTATATGGGTACAGGCTTGGAAAATTAGGGCTTGACACATCGCCACTGCTTGCAGAGAGGATTCCTCCACATTTAACACCTATAAACATATTATACTGTAAAAAATTCTATGGTAACTTCCCTTATAGTCTATAGTGAAAAACTATAATAGATCTAATTGGACATTTCATGTAATTTTACTCTGAAATACTGCTAAATTTACAGTTTTGGAAGTGAAAAGGAACAAGTCATCTTATAACCTCTTTGACATTTCACATTTGTTTCTTCTTAGTTTTATGCTTATCAATTATGTATAGGGTTTTATGTTGCATCTTATGTTGTTAAATTAATGTTAATTGCATTATTTTAGTGTCGTGTTTGTTACCATGATACCGTATCTACCTCACCTTGTGGAGAGGCTACTTGTGATGAGCTTTGATTCATCATTATAAAGGTACAAAACTGACTTTAATATTTCAGTAGGTTAATATTACTTGAGTTAATTCAATATATTGAATACATATTAAGTTCAATCTGCAAAATCTAAAATGTTGATACCATATTTCTGGCAACCACAGATGCTTGTTTTTACCACAAATATTTACAGTAGATTTTTTTTATAACAGTGTACAGTTGAATAAATGTTTATCCAAAGCAACAAACAAAATCTACATTGTATTCAAGATCTACACTTTAGAAGTATGCTTTTCCTACTGAATATACTTGTGTTTAAGCTAATGCTCAGAAATGCACAGGCATTAAAAACTATCACAGAATCATCAAATCTAGGAAGCTGCCATACATACTTACAGAAGAACTGAGGTGTTTACAATGATACAACATTCATAAGGTGTACACTTTCACCCATGAGATAGGAAGCCGTCCTACCTTTCTTGGAGGTGACTTTTCCAGCAATGAACAAAACATGAATGAAGACAGTCATCCTTAAAACCATGTTGTTTCTTGTAGTATGTAGTGTTTAAGTTCTTCTGCACATACTGTCCTGCAGGGTTCAGAGAGCAGACGTAATATAAAAGCTCTTCATTCTGTGGCCTCTCGTTCTGGGGCAATTGGATAGGTGGTCCACTCTTTGGCTCTCTGACTAAATTTTAATGAGGACTATCAAATGCACGCAGGTGGCTTGTCAATACACTGTTTGGAGAGAAAGGCATGAAAAGTTAATGAGTGTATCGTGCACATGGAACAAGTGGTGTGTTTTAAGTTGATAAGAGGAAGAGACACACAGATGACCACGTGTATTACAAGCAGTGTAATGCTGCTGATGTTTTAAAGTTTAGACAGACTTGTGAAGTTTAGACACAAACATTATTATATATCCACAATTCAGCAAATTGTGCAATTCATTCAATTTTTTTAAAGGAGGGTGATTTTTTAAAATTATTATTCAAACAATACAAAAACATTTTTGTCAAACCAAGGAGCTGATAAACGAACAAATGAACAAATTAATACAAATAAAAAAAAAAGACATAAATTACCATAAAAAGAAATCGTCATATATTGTATATATATATGTACAAAATATTATGTTAGACATAATACGGTGCCCTCCACTAATATTGAAAATCCCCATTTCCACCATCAGGACAATAATTAAGAGGTTCCAATATGTTTCATATCGTTCGGTATCGATAATTATTGACAATTTTTTATAGCCTTTCTTAAACAGAGAGCAGTAGAAAAAAGGTTTAAATTTAACCACAGTATTTTTAATTTACCCAATTTATTAAGACAAACAACAACTTATTTTAGTCTTAACAAACAAAATAACAAATAAAACAAAATAGAATAAAATTTAAACAAATATCTCCTTTCTTATAATTTATATGCAGATTAAATAAGTATGAAGGAAACATTTGGCCTGTCTCCTGAGGCCACAGGAGGGCGCAGTGAGCAAAATAATGCACCTCATTAAACAGCTAAAGCATTGAAAATCCCCATTTCCACCATCAGGGCAATAATTAAGAGGTTCCAATCAACTAAAGATGTTACAAATCTGCCTGGAAGAGGATGTGTGTCTATATCGTCCTAATGCACGGTGAGGAGGAGAGTTTGAGTGGCCAAAGACTCTCCAAGGATCACAGCTGGAGAATTGCAGAGATTAGTTGAGTCTTGGGGTCAGAAAGCCTAAAAAAATATTAAACAGCCCCTACATCACCACATGTTGTTCAGGAGGGTTTCAAGAAAAATTCTCCTCACTCATCCAAAAACAAACTCCAGCATATTCAGTTGTCAGATACGACTGGAACTTCAAATGCCACTGGCTTCTATGGTCAGATGAAACTAAAAAAATAGCTTTTTGGCAGCAAACCCACCAAATGGGTTTAGTACAAACAGGGATAAAAAGTACACATGCCATTCCCACGGTTAAATATACTGCAGGATCTTTAATGTTGTGGGTCTGTTTTTCTGCTGGAGGTCCTGAACATCTTGCATCATGGATTCTATCAAATACCAACAGATAAAAAATCGAAACCTGACTGCCTCTGTTAGAAATCTTATAATGGGTCATGGTCGGATCTTCCATCAGGACAATAATCCAGAACAAACATCAAAATCAACACAAAAATGGGTCACTGAGCACAAAATGAAGCTTTTGCCATGGCCGTCCCAGCCCTCTGACCTGAACCCTATAGGAAATGAGTGGGGGGAACTGAAGAGAAGAAGCACCAACATGAATGTTGTGAATCTGAAGGATCTGGAGAGATTCTGTATGAAGGGATGGTCTCTGATCTCTTGTCAGGTGTTCTCCAAACTCTTCAGGCATTATAGGAGAAAACTCAGAGCTGTTATCCTGGGAAAAGGACGTTGGGTGCCAATAATTGTGGCCAACATGAACTAGAGAAAGCATTTATTTCACAATGAGACTCCCCCCCACTTTCAATTGTTTTACTTCAATGATAGGTTAGAATTTAGTGATTTTTTGGGGTAAGAACCCCAACATATTCAGTTGTCAGACATGATTGGAACTTCAAACGGGACTGGCTTCTATGCTCAGATGAAAAAAAAAAAAAAAAAGAGCTTTTTGGCAGCAAAACCACCAGATGGGTTTGTTGCAAACAGGGATAAGAAGTAGCCCATGCCCACAGTTAAATATCCTGCTGGGTCTTTAATGTTGTGGGCCTATTTTTCTGCTGGATTTTTTTTCTTGTTCAGATATTGGCATCATTGATTCTATCAAATACCAACAGATAAAAAATCGAAACCTGACTGCCTCTGTTAGAAATCTTATAATGGGTCATGGTCGGATCTTCCATCAGGACAATAATCCAGAACAAACATCAAAATCAACACAAAAATGGGTCACTGAGCACAAAATGAAGCTTTTGCCATGGCCGTCCCAGCCCTCTG